ATCAGTATAGTAATTTTAGGCAGAATTTCTCTCCTATGCTCATGGCTCAGAAGATTAAATTTTCCCAGCTGTATTGTGCTTTTATGCGAATCACTCACAGAAAAGCGGCTAACTTAATCTTAGAGGGGGAACTTAACCCTGTTCTAAATAGCAATTGCAACCGGACCAGCACTCTCCTCTGCCTCAGTGGTTGACCCACTATCATCCAATTCTCTTTGTTCTGCACGAGAGCAGCAACATTCCTTCCTTATACGGAAGTTCCTGGAAGGAAAATTTGGGTAAATAGTGACCTGGTTTAACCAGTAAAATGAAGTTCTCCCCCACCCAACCCGAGGGGGAGGGGAGAGGGGATGACAACATATTATTGTAAAGTACTCGGTTGTTTACTATGAATTTCATGATCTGTCAGTCAGCTAATCATTATTATACAGCTCAGTACTATGCATAAGAGGTGTCCTTGCCTCTTGAGCCCATCTCTCTCCAGGGCAGTTCCTGACCCCTATCGTTATGAAGTTCGGATAGAGTGCTGGACAAAACAAAAGCAGTTTATTTTAGGCACAGGATAGCAAGTTATCAATCAGTACAGAAGGCCACATGCCATGCTGGAAGCAATCTTGACAATACAAATTATTAGGCCTGTACAACTATGCTACGAAACAACCCAGGATTAGAGTCGCCCATTCTCGTCACAGGCTTGTGGCCAGATGGCTGGAGCCAAGCTGTGAGCTGCAGAAACCTGAAAACAGCAAAAGCCTGGACTGTGTACTAGTTGAGGTAAGGCAGAATAACCTGGGACTGAAGTTGCATCCTGCATTACACTCTAGGCTTGTTCTACTTTGTACATCTAGATGCATTTGTATTTGCTGAGAAATGCCTTGTTTAACCTGTAAACTTTATTTGAATACGTCTCTTTAAAGAGCTCCTGTACTAATCTCTAGATGAAAGGATTGTTCCATAAAATGTAAACTTCAATAACATATTCTTCAACTTTTCTTCTTACTTAGGTTGACTTTTCAGGCTTTACATTTGTCATCTGACATTTTAAACTACATTTCTTAGATCATTTACAATTCCAGATGGATCCGTGTCTGATGGGAATCCTATCCACTGCTGGAAAGCTGGAGAATATCACTATTCTTGTGGAAAATTGAAATGCAACGTGCCGAATTTCTTATTTTTCATACAAGGTGTAGTAGCAGCAAAGCATGACAGGGAAATGTGTTGGTAAATAAAGTGTTTAATGTGTAATTAAAAAGCATTCTCTATTACTACCTCTTCTAATTACTTAGTTGAAATTCAGCAATTGTTGCTTGTTTATGTCCAGGATCAATATTTTTAATTTTTTTTTACCCATTTGGCAATTTGCAGTAAGCAATTTATAATAAATTGCATCAGGCCCGCGACCCTATCACCCCCATCCTCGACTGATTCCACTGGCTTCCCATCACACATTCCCATCACACAGAGGTCACCTTCCTTCCCCAACCCTGCCCTCCACCCTCCCTGATCCCGACCTCCAGCTCGGATCCGAAACACTGATTGTCCAACGCCTTGGGACGTCCTCCTGATATGAAAGGAGCTAAACAAATGTAATTTTGTAGTTGTATAATCAATTGTATGAAGACATGCTTTTTTTCAGGAATATAGCTTAAAGCTTAAACTCGGCTTTTAAACAAAAAGCTAATAAATAATAATAATAAACAATTGATAATAATAATGATGCTTGGATTTGATACATTACCTTTTGTGTTGGGAGGACACCTCAAAGTACTAATACCGATTTTTGTTAAGCGCTACAGGATTTTACTGTAAAATGTAGTGACTGTATTTTGTAGGCAATCATGGCAGTCAATTTTGCACACACTAATGCCTCACAAACAGCCATGCAACAAATAACCAATTTTATCTGAGCGATTATTGGCCAGGACATCTGCAGGCACTCCCTTCTCTTTTCATAGTGCCATGTGATCTTTAACATCCATCTGACTTGGTAGATGGGACCACGGTGTAACATCTCAGCCAAAGGAGTCAAAGAGTTTGATTCAAATTTGTATTGGACTATGAATAAACTCAAGGAATATTCAACTATAGGAGTTTGAAAGAATTCTGAATACAAGAAAGCTGACTGTGAAGTTATTAAATAGCATCTAATTTTCAGCCAAGAGCATTGATGCATACTTGAAAGAATTTGCATATGCATTGCAATGCAATGCTTAATACTACTAACTGAGGTAGCTAAGGCAATGACATGTCAAGCACCAGACTTGGGTTTAATTTATAGATATGAATCTATGATCCACAAAACAAAATGTGCCACTTTTCTTCCTACATTGGGACATTCATAGGTTGGACTATACCTATTTTTGTTACGTGTTTCAGTGTTATGTTGCAAATCAATTGTTTTGGGGAAATTATTTGACAAAATGTAATGAATCCATCAGATGGTGGCTTTATCTTTGCAACAAGAAAGATGCTGGTTAGGCAGAGAGAGTGCAGAGGTGCTAGGGCAATCCTCGCAAGATTAAAAGCATTCTTTTGGACTGATAAAAAGTCAAAAGGTTTTCCCGTCAATTAATGGTTTACAAAAAGTAGATCCAATTTACACCACCACAGCAAAGCTCAATGTGCTTTCCAGAAGTTACAAATTGGTCTAAAAAAAATTCAAGAAAATATAGTCTTTATTTTCAAGTGGACACAATGATACTTATAAGAAAGACAGTAATGGAATCCGAACAAAGGTAATATTGACTGTAATAGCGAGGACACAAAAGACACAGCTTCAGTAATGTCACACATTTTGTACTTGTTCTATTTTTTACTGCATGCACAGCAGGTTTCTGCTTTTGAAAATTATCCATTACAATTGTATCAATACTTTTATATTTTGTGAGACAGGATGTGGAGATGCCATCAGAAAATTAGATTTCATTCTGACATTAGGGGGTCCGGTCAACAATCCAATTCCATGTTTTTCTATTGAGACACAAAGATTTGATATAATTTTGGTTGGAAAACATTTTATAAATTAAACAATTGAATTTCTAGCTGGTCTTGTGGAGCACTTAGCTTAAAAGAATACACTCCCAAATCAAAGCTTTTCAATCATCTTAAATATTATTTTGATGTTATGTGCCTTAAGTATACTATCCTCTTAAATGTTATTGAACGTTTGACTGACTCATGCAAGCATAGGTGATGTATAAAGGTATCTTATTTATATTTTTATAATATTTGGATTGTGACTGACATCTGGCTGACAGGACTTAGAAAGATATATGCTACGAAGTGAATCCCTGAGCAGTCGTGAACAAGATCGCTCCTATTTATCAAGATGTATTAGGCTGATCTATTTTTCAAAATATGGACACTACACAAAGAAGTGAAGGACAATGCACCATCCATAATAATGGACGGATAACATTTTCAGTCCTTAGCTTATGACTCAGTGGAGGTAAAAAGCAATTACGTGATTGTAAACCTTACATCCTGAAATTCACTAATCATTTTAAAATGAACTTTCTTTTTGGGCCATATTTAGATATTTGTTCTTTTGCAACTAAATGCTAAATAATTGTGTCCTATAATAAAATCTGATCTCACTGATCTGGTCTCTTGTCAATCTCCTCCTTTTTAATGTATTGTAATCATTATGGCTCTGATTCCATCAGATTGCCTGGTTACTATTAAAGTCTGTAATGATTTTAGGCCTAGATTACAAAGGCATTAAATATATTTTGCATTGGGTTATTGATGATTCAGTGCCATTGCACTTGGTATATTTCGCGTTGGGCTATATAAGTGGGCATATAGCATGTGCCATTTCAACACATGCAAATGGAAGTTAGCATTACCACAGTTCATATTTTATACTTCTATCATGTTATAAAAGATTAGTTTCTACACTGAGTCACACATTACGACATTTCAGTAAGATTGATCACGGGGCAGGATATAAACTCCAGCTGCATCTGAGTCCATTTACAAGAGTCAGAATGGTCTTCTGGATGCTCGGGTATAGAAGAAACCACAGAAGAGCATCTGCCAAACAATTTACAGGTGGTAGATTAGTTCTACACATTGGTTTGACACCCACTGTTTCCACTTTAGATTTAACTGATGATTTATGAAACCTGAGGAAGGCATTAAAAGAGGATCGGGTGTCAAATACCTACAAGTGATGCTCTGCGGTACAATTGAAGGTGACAAGAGCACAAACCATTCAGAGACACCAATATGTTTGAGAATCTAGAAAAAATGGGCTTGCCTCAGATAGCAATGGCTAACTGTATTTTCAAATAACATTAGGAGGGTTCAAGATTATATTTTCTCCATCCTCCCCACCCAAAAAAACAAATTAGATCTGAATTAAGTCAAGTTTCTTTGTCACTGATGGCTTCCCTAACATTTTGGACACCCATAAATCTTCCCGTGCATCATTCTATATATCTGTTTTGAGTGGGCACTTAAATTGAAAGAAATGCTTGTATTTAGTAAACAGCAGGAGACTTAATCTTTTGGTCTAATTCTTAAGTGATGGAGGCAATGGTCTGAATCTGTGGCTCATGAATCCAGTGCCAATTCATCAATCCTGAACACAATCCCCATTCCACCTCACTTGTGAGCAGCTTGGTGACATGGCACTGGAGCCATGGACCGTGGTCTATGCCCTTTGTCACTTGCCAAAGAGAAAATTGCTTAAATTAATAGGCAGTGAGTATGAACTCCAAGATCTACGAGTTACTCTAACCAGCAACATACACCAGCCAATTTTCCCTTACAGAATATTCTTGCTGACTTCTGAACTGATGATGATGGATGTGTTGTTGGTGCTGCCCTGGCAACAGGTACACACATTAAGAGATGAAATGAGTATTTTGCATTTTGTTAATAGATGAAATATTCTCCTGATTCAGGAAATGTGTTTGTTCTTGGCAGGTACACAGATGAGCACATGCATCCAGACAATCAAACTGAAAAGACGGTGGAAGTCTTTTAGGCAGAGTGTAGACTACTCCTTGGCTGCTGTTTGGTGTAAAAATGTTGGAAGCTGATGTGAGGAGACATCCCCTGAGCAAAGCAGCGGTGACTTAAGAATTGACTTTGAACATTGTTTGAAGCCGGTGAGTGCTCCAGGTGAGTAGCAGTAAATGCTGTACTCGCCTAGAATAGTGGGTCCAAGGCGTGTTGAATCCTGTTTGAAATTCTTCACACAGGTGAAATATGTTCAGCAAACCTTAAAATCTTTTAAAACTGCACTTCAACAAAAAAAAGTAGCCCTGATAAAACTACGAATGGGCTCTCCCTTTCTGCAATACAAATGTCCCTGCTCCGCCAGTAACTGTAATGTTTTTTTTCTAAGGTTCCATTAGTCTTGCTGTGCTAACAATGACCTTCACTTGCACGCTGATGGCATGGAAGCAATCTTTCCAACAATGGCAGGCTTTTGTACTCTGCCATCACCTGCTCTGCTCCAATAAAGTAGGGTTTGGAGATTTCAAATCAACTTTTGTTGCACTGAATTATATTTAGTCACTTATGTGCACATGGAATGCATCAGCAAACATAAAATTGTATACCCATAGAACCACAGAAATTTACAGCATAGAAAAAGGCTATTTGGTTCTTCGTGTCTATGCTGGCTCTTTTAAGAGCAGTCATTTTAGTCCCATTTATCTGCTCCTTTCCCCGTACGCCTGTAGCTTACTGCTTTTTAGGTATTTATCTAGACCATGATATCAATGCAGAATAAGAGTCGAGCTAGTCAAAACTGCAAAAACAAAAATGTATCTCTTTGTATTGCTGCAGAGCTTAACCCTTTGCTTGCATTACTGTGGATAATCAATACGAGGACAGTGTCCAACAATCGCAGAGTTCAGATGACATTTATAACCCACTTGTACATTATCTAAACTCTTTGATTATGTTCTGCCTTGCAACACCCTCCCAGCTATCAATTTGTTTACCCTCAGCACCTCTAGAAATGGAATTACATTCTTCAATTCCACATGTGATGAAAATCACTTCTGACTGGGAGATCACTTAACCTATGTAAAAGCCATCAGACCTACAGATGAGAACGTACTCAACACAGATGAGAAGATGACAATTTAACTTAAGACTCCATTTGGTTTGGCCTCATTTTGAAGTCCACTTTAATTCCCTTTTAAATAACTTTAACCCTACTGTCCCCAATAGTACGCTTTGGGTGCATCCCTCGTGTGTTGTTGCGAACATTCCTGTTCACAAATGCCTTGTGGCACAGTGATAACTGGTGGCTCTTTTTAATCATTTCTTGCAATATCAATGTCTTTGCTCTCTGATATTCTGGTTAGATAACTGTGTCTAAAACTAATGTGTGTGTCATTTTGTTTAAAATAAAATATTTTAGCTGACCAGCAGCAGAACTAGTACCTGGAGAATTTAAAAAGGATTTTACCCAAATGCTTTCTACTTACTTACAGCACTCAAGTAATGGATGAAGATTAGCATATGACATGACAGATTACATTAAGTCATGTCATTCTAGTACTTTATGATGGCAGAATAACATTAGCTTCTTACCACTTGCACACCATGGCATGCAAATCCCAGTCATGTTATTTAAAATTACTAGCTGACATGGCAACCTTGATATGATTATTAGTCATGTTACAGACTTTACTTCATAACCATCAGATACCATCTTCTTGTGAAAAGTTAGTAAAAAATCCCTCTGCTTGTATGGTTCAGGCATCTTTAAAAGCTTCACGATAAACCTTTGAAACAAGATTTGTATAGCCCAAACGTGAGGACATTTGACTCATGTTTTGAAGAGCATGGATTAAGAAATAATTGTTCATTCAAAAGCTAGATAAGACTGTATCGAACACATTTTTCTCTTGTTGACTTTAACAGCATTCCGCAAAATAAATCAATTTGATTTTGAGATATTACATTTTCTGGAAGCAACTTCATATTTCTATGTTGTTTGTTGTCTGACTCATTAATTGTGGCATCGGTGCTTGGCAGATCAGGGAATCTGAACCTAAATCAATTAAAATAAGGAGGCAGCCAAGTCTCCCATTTTATTCTATTTTTAAGTGACTAGTGTTGATAAGGCTCAATGGCTACGTGAGGAACATCAAACTGAGATTGAATAAAACACAACCGACATACAATAATTTCCAGAATATTTAAATAAAAGCAGAAGAATTGGAAATCCAAAACAGGTCAGTTAGCATTCTTTGAAAGAATTGTGCAAGAATTACTTTCAAATTAAGACTGAAGTTTTGAGTTTTCCACGTTCTAGATGACATTACATTTCAAGACAAAATGGTCTCAATGCTAAGAGTGGGTAGAATTTAAGACTTCAGTTCATCCTCTTCAGAATTTTGCTTCAATGGTCAAGGAAAGTTTTAAGAAAAGAAATGGAGAAAGCTCAATAATGTATTCAAGTCCAAGATGGAGATTCTAAACACAAAGCTTTGGTGGTACAGATGATGCAATGTGGCAGGTCCAGTACACAGGGAATACAAATTCATTATAGCTATTCCCTACCTTTCTACTCCAATCGTCCTTCTGAAATGGCTGTGTACTCCTGCTCGAGTAATGGTCCTCCTATCATTTTAAAAAAAACTATGATTAACGTGTTGCGCCTTTTCAGAAAAAAGTGAATCACCCATTTAGAGCCCCAATTCACAGTTGCTTGTAATTTATAAATCTTTGCATTAGTGAGTATTTTACATTATATTCAGCCTTGTTGCTTGGGGTTGTTGTCATCTTTGTGTAGAATCAATTATAATTTAAGTGTCATGTCACATTCCTGCCTGTTCTTTCCTGTGCAGCTGCATTTTATATGCTTTGCACCTCATCAATGCAACAAAAACATGAACTAACTTACTATAGGCACCTGATTGGCCTAATAAGCACCTCAAAACTAGATCTAGATGTATACTATGGCATAATTGACTCCAGCACCGGTCAATTTACGTGCTCACAGACTCTGTGCAGACACATAGCAACAGTGCAGAAAGGTAAATGCAAAATGTACTACAAAGCATGCAATGTCACACCATAGAGCGAGCACCAAAACATTGCACAAAGAAGACGCTACAAGATTAAAAATAATCATAATTGAAAAAAGGGACTGTGTTCCTTATTTCAAAAAGATCATTCAGAATGTCTAAATATATGCTATAACGGCAGAGAATGAAATTTGAAACCTGCCGCAATACATTAATTTTGGAGAATGTGTGAAGTGATTCATGAACATTTTGTCAAATAGTCCTTCTTTACGGATGATTATTCAACACGAGTGGAAAAGGAAGATCATTTGTTTTTATTTAGATCAAGAGCAAAAGTAACATACAAGGCAGGCTGAACTAAACATCTTAAGCTTGAATTATCCAGCACATGGAATTACTCTTGCTTTCTCTTCCTTTGGAGAGCTGAAGTTAATACGCTAGAAATGCACTTTATGATATTTGATGTGCTGGCTTAGTATTTTAAGTGCTTACTGCGGTACATAGCTTCTAATTTTTCTCATATTTTTGACCTTGTCATTGCTTCAACTTTTGTCTTGGTTCCTGTGATCTAAGATGATGTGAATAAAAAGCTTTTTGTCTGTTTGGACCCGATCCACCTTAAAAGGGAGAATCTAATGGTTTGTGCGGCACTTATTTTGCCATAATTCATCAAGGGTAAAGGGTCATAGAAATGTTTCTTAATATTAATATGACTAAAGAAACCTTTAAACTGCCATTTAACAATGAAGCTATAAAAATATCTCACTATTATAAGTGCTATTTAAATTGAGCCTGCCCAGATTGCCTCTGTGAGCCATTGTTTTTCTACACTTCTCCCAGGGTTGGAAATCAGTAGTATCCTGACAGCTCCTCATTATACTCTTCCCATACACTTTCTATTGAGGAAGTTTAGTCTGATTCCCAGACCAAGCCAACATTTAAACTTATCCACTCTCCCTGGGTTTCGTTTGGACCAGCAGCGAGCAATGGTGCATGCATGGGATTAGCACCTAGCTCTGCTTCACCGTAGACATCGCCAGTCAACTGGCTGTGAAATTGCACTCACGATGACTGTGGAGAACCCACATCAGAGAGCAGAGGGATAGTTGCAGGAGAGGGCAATACAGAATTTCTTTATGCATTAATTACAGAAATAAGCACTAGTGCTCTTTGATATTAAACAGTGCTTAGTCAATATTAAACTGTTAGAAATGTTGTGAGGACTTAATACTGAAAATAAACATGACCATGTTTTGATACTGAAATGGTAACAGGAGCTGTCCAGCTGGGATGGATTGACCTAACTGTTGGGGTTTGGGCTCAGAGGATGAAGACAATGTCATTAAACCATTAGCAAGCCTAATTCTATTTCCCCTCCTCTTCTCTATATTCTTTAACATTCTTACTTACCATGTTCCCTTCTCCACTGGAAGAGAATAACTGAGAACCTGATGCTATTACAATCCATGCCAACTCTTAAACAATATACTAAAATACATGGTATAGACCGACCAGGATCTTAACCTAATCTGATGCTTAACAATTGATCTGTTATTGAACTTTATGTAGTTTCTAAACATCAGGGTAAATATAAGTAAATATTAACAAGCTGTGACAACAATGTTATGGATTGCTTCTTTTGAATCACCTTAGAAACATTCAGTAAACTGTACAAGGGAATAAATGTATTTTGCAAAAGATTTACAGAACCAAAATATGTTGCCAGAATCTGATTCCAATTGCTTGTACCTGGAAAAATAAAGATTTTCTACTCGCTTTATACCACCCGCATGGATTATTCCAGCAACGGTTTATGACCACTTGTTTTATGATCCTCATTAACCCACTGCTGGAATTAGTTTTCAGTAATCACTGAAGTCCATGAGTGAAAAGCACAAAGCTTGACTTTTTATTCTTGAGTATTTGAATCAGATGTTGCTAGCTAACCTTATCTAAAAAATACAGCACTGTTTATTTCAAGGGTATCTGCACTTGCATAGGCACATAGTGGTCCATTCAGTCCATCAAGCCTAATCACTATTAAATCGTTAGCAAGCCTAATTCTATTTCCCCTCCTTTTCTCCATATTCCTTAGCATCCTTACTTACCTTCTCTACTGTCAGAGAATAACTGAGAACCTGATACTAATACAATCCATGCAGCTCTTAAACAATTTATTGAAGCCATATTTAAGCTCTGTGTCTAATTAACATTTTTTATCAGCATTCTTTAATACATCATAGTAGCACAACATATTGTTACAGGACCATTGCGAAGAGACACACCCACACACAGAAATAAAATGATTTATTTGGTCTTCTTTAACCGTGGCTATAAAGGTTAAATATTCCTATTTTATGCCTTCAAATATCTATAAATCCTATTTGAACACCTAATTTAATTCTCTAATACATTTAGACCTTGTTACACTGCTAAGTTTGGGATGGCCCTTATGCAGCAGTTTAATGAGGTAAAACCCATAGAACCATCTGTGTGTCAGCCTGGCCCAGTGGTAGCGCTCTTGATTCTGAATCAGAACGTTGTGGGTTCAAGTCCCACATCGGGACTTGGAATCACATAGTGTAAGTTGGCACTCCAGTACAGTGCTAGGGGTATGTTGCATTGTTGGAGGTGCTGTCCTTCGAATGAGACGCTAAACCAAGGTCTCATCTGCCTATTCAGGTGGATGTTAAAGATCCCATGGCTCTGGGGAAGAGAAAGGAGTTCATCCTGATGTCCGGGTCAACAGTCCCCCCAAAATGCACTTCATGGCTGTTTGTGGGACATTGCTGTGTGCAACTGGCTAGTGCGTTTCTCCCACAAAATTCATCAAACCAATTGATAGTATATTCTATGGAGTGCTTTGAGATGTCTTGATGACGTGGTAAGTTGCTATATCAAATGTAAGGATTATATAATATTGGACCTGAGCCACATGCCTTGTGATCTTGAGACCTACAGTAAATTAGAGACTTTTTTCAGTCAGCGTTGGGCAGTTCCACTTCCACACATTAGGGGGGAATAATAGTCACATCACATACCACATTTTTGCACGTTCAATACTCATCCAATGAGAGAGATAGCAATGCAAAAATATTAATCCATTCTCATTAATGGAAACAGAGAGGATGAGGTATAATGAGGCAGAAGGCATTGAAGAGCTATGCTTTAGATCATTCTTTTGGAAATATTTGAAAGCAATATATTGGAGGGGGGGGGAAGGGGGCAAGGTCTACTGGTGCCTGGTTTAGTATTACAAGACATCTGATTTTTCTGGTAACGTTAATTGCACATTAGTTAGCTTTGCAAGAGAATCACAGAATGTCATAACTAGACTCCAGCGTATGTGGCTCGGCAGATGCTGAGCTCAACCACAGAGAGCCATGTATCTGATCATGACATGCAGAAATAACTTGGTTTACATTGATCTTCGTCTTGCAGTATAAATAGCACTGGTGTTCCTGTAGCTTCGTTACAGCATTGCTAATATTACTACAATATCACTGAAGGAGATTAACCATTTCAAAATATATATATATATATATATACCAATGACTGCATTCACAACCTCCAAGGATATTTGAATGCACCTGCACATTTAGATGGGTTTATTTAGGAGCAGGGAATCTGTGGTTTAGCTAGATTTATGCTCAAGATGAAAGGACAGATATGGTGATCAGTAGCCTATAGCAACTCACTTTGTACTGCACACTGCTTTAGAAATGCTCCAAACTTATTGAATGTTTTTTTCTAAAATGTTCTTCATTTGTCTTTTGCTTTGAAGCATTCCTGGTCCAAAATAAAAAACAAAAGAGTGGCATGCTGAGAGTGAAGGCTGGAGCACTGATTCTCATGGTGACGGAGATTGTAGATTTGAACCCTAAATCCACAGTTGCACTTGAGATTACTATCTGAGCAGACTGACCATTTGAGAACTCAAAGGAGGTCTAGGCGATGAATTTCTTGAGCTGCTTTTAAACAACCTCTCCTGAGTACACCAACTCCTCCTAGAGCACAGTTCAATGGGAAGCTGAGACTCTCTGGTTCTTTGTCTAAATGATTATTCCTCCTGTACAAGCCTAGATTATGATTGTCAACAGGCTATTCATTGGAGGGAATCACAGCCAAATCTGTTCTCTTCACACACACACACACACACACACAAGTTATAGAATGTGATAAGACTTTGGTTGATTTTCCTCTCTTTAGCCTTGGGGCATTAAGGCCAAATGTAGCATATGTACAGCTGCTGTGGCTGATATCAATCAGCTCAGCACCTATCGGGAATCAAATCTCTGGTCTGTAAGGGTTTTTGGTGCACTGAGTGGTGCATTTGCCAGCTAAACCAGGGAGCGCAGAAGAGTGTACTTGTTATATGTGTACTCAAGCATAAAGCTGTGATAGTGCTTTATACTGAATATCCCTTTAAACAAATCTGTTGCTTTTCCAAACAATATTGCTCCAGGAGAGAAGGTTATGCTTGATGGTATCATAAATGTGCCCTTCAATATAGAATAAGTAAATAGTGAAAATTTACTGATGAAAGTGATTTGAATAAAACTGTGACACATGGTTGTATTTATGGCAGTAAAATAACTCTCCAACACTTTATAATTCTAACACTTTATACCCTGAACTATCTATTAGTTTATTCTGTCATTTTTTTAAAAAATAGTCGTCAGTACTCCTGTGTTCCTTGTTTTTTACGTTTAATCTTTTTATCATATCAAATATGGTGTATTGCATCTCTTGAAAAGTTAATTTGTTCTGTAACCCCCTTTTATGCGTGTTGTGAATGCTTTCCTTTTAAGAAACCTTTAGCACTGGTTAGCAAATGTTCAGTGACGACCTTTAAAAGCACTGCCTACCTGTGCTGGTTGAGAAGTGCAGCTTTCCTTTTGTCCTAAGCAACTCTAATGAGCTGGAAACAGTTCTGAGTGGTGTGGACAGACAAGCTCCCAGGGGCAAAAATGAAAATTTTTAGTCCGGAGGCAATCGTCTTAGAAGGAAATAAATTATTGTCTGCGTGCAGGAAAAATAACTACCGCTGGCTAAAGTGAAGAAAAAGAGGAATTATGAAAACACTTTTTTTTTCATCTCCAATATTTCTCCTCTTTTCAAAATGGTATACTCCTTTTTTTTTGCTCTTGTGTTCATTCAAGTGTTAAATGTTGATTGTTTGATTAAGGAACAAATTTGAAACCTCTGTGACTATTGCTATATCTGACAAGGTATCAAGTCTCCAGCCAACTTTACATACCATATTATATATATAAATAAATAATCCTTGCATTTGAAAAAGCACTTTATCACGTCGTCTAGATGTCCCGACGTGAAAGGCGCTATACAAATGTAATCTTGTTGTTGATGTTGTTGTCTCAAGGCGCTTCACAGAATATACTGTAAGGTGAATTGACTGTATATTTTGTTAGACAAACACGGCATCCAAATATTGGTAGATATTGGAGAGAGATTGTAGTGAGCATTACCAAAGATTGCAAAAACTTCACATGACACCCAGTCTCTCGTTTTTCTTAAACATTTCCAATCTTGCTGACTCTGTCCGGTGACTCCTATCTCCCTTCTCCCCCCCCACACTCATAATAATTCCCTTTACTAAAGTTGCTACATGTAATAGCGAAAGGCATTTTGGATCTCACTAACTCCTTTTAAAATGATGTGCAATCTGGTATTTGATCTAAAAGTTGCACGTTTACATTTTGGATTCTGCTCATGTGTGAGACATGTGTGATGCCTAATTGCAAATATTACATTAGTTATATGTATGCAATAAAACCTGTTTACCAGGATGTGTGTATGAGGACCTTGTTTGTGTGAAACAATTCATTTATCCTTTATTTATGGCACAACCTGGACAATATGAACCTGACATGTTCTTGCTAATTAGACTAATTCAGTGATATACAACAGAGTGGCTAAGTTTATGAGGCAATAAATGAGTTTTATTCACTGAATAAATTACAAGACCATAAGGTAGAACAGTTTTGTCAAGTAAATATGGCAAAGTTAAAGAATATGTTTGTTGCACTAAATAACTTTCTAAAAACATTTTTTTGCTGTGGGTCTCATTTTCTATTTTATATGTATTTGCGGTTTAATTGTAATATTTGTAGTTTATGGAATTAATGACCATGGGGATCAACAGAATGGTGAGCAAAACAAAGTGCCATCAACAAAACCATTGCCACAGAGGCACCTTTCAGTCACGTCACTAGAATCTACTAATGAACAGAGTCCTGAAAGAAAATGTGGAGAGGCTATGGCTATGGGGAGAGCGCGGAGGAGTGGGATTGATTTGGATAACTCTTTTCAAAGAGCCGGCACAGACATGATGGGCCGAATGGCCTTCTTCCGTGCTGTATAATTCAATGATTCTATGAAAATAATTGTTATCGGAGATAATAATAATCCATCCATTTGATGTGGCTTCTTTCACATCAGGAGGACACCTCAAAGCACTTCACAGGGTTTATTGTAAACTGAAATGACTTGGTTTTTTGTGGGTGAACGAAGCAGCCAATTTACTCACCTGGACATTCTCAGCACGTTTCCATGCTACTAGATCACAATATAAGATGATAAAACAGTTTACACTAATAATCTTTGCAATATTTCCTGCTCCATAAGATTCCCAAAGAGGATCTTTTCATTTCCTATTTAATACCTGTTCAGGGAACCATGCTAGGTAACTGCAATACAGCGGAGGATGTGCAATGATGAACGTCCAAGATGTGGTTCATTGACTCCTGGAAACCTACCTAACTTTCTTTGCCCTTAATATAAGGATGTACGCTATAACCTTTTCACCACACTGTTGTATTTGCCCACAGTTATATTCTAAGTGGCATTTAAACTTGTTTAAGGGTATCACAAACCACTTCTTCCTGCTGCTCTGTATTGAACATGGCACTTGTGTTACATAACTGAACGAGTGATTAATATATGGAACTCGGTGTACATAGTCCCCAGTTTAATTCTACCTTTTTTGACTCTTTCAGGAATCCTGTTCAGTGTTTACTGTACTAACACTGGTATAACCTCGAACTGGCAGTGAGACAAAGAGTTTACCAGACATTGGAGAAAAGGTAATTGAGCACAACCTTTATGAGGAGATATTGTGTGCAGTGTGTATTGTGAGAAGCAATTAAGCACAGAATTTTTAATTAAAAAACTGAATGTGATGAATATGAAACACATGGAAATACTGTTTAGCTTTTCACTATCTACAGCGACAGTTGGAAAGTCATGACACTTCAGTTTACAGACCACACATCTCAGGGCAAAATAACCTTGTTACAGTTGGCAAGACAATAGGTTAAGAAACACGACTTGCGTGGTGGACTTGTTAGAATCTCTTGTTGATAAGCCTGTCTCATTGTCATGGATTTTAAGATTAAACAAATAATTTAAACATCATCAATGCCAGGCTCCAATGGTCCATGGAAGTGGCTTATTGGGGATATGTGGACCACGAACATTGACTGAATCACGTCCTTTTCTTTTAAAAACATAGATTTTTATTTAAAATAAATTCTCAAGATCAGCAACCACTTTTAACAAGTCAAAAACAGGGACATGGTTTAGCAACATAATGGACTGTCCAATGGATCAAGCCTTTAACAAAGAAATAACTTATATTTCTATAGCACCTTATTATGTCAAAATGTATCAACAACAATAACAAATTACATTACATTACGTCCTTTCATGTCGGGAGGACGCTGGACAATCAGTGCTTTGGACCTCAACTGGAAGTCAGAATCGCGGAGGGTGGAGGGCAGGGGGGGAAGTAAGGTGATCGAAGGCACGGGTCTTGGAAGAGGCAAGGCGGAGGGGACGAGGTGGAGGGACTGCGGGATGTAAAGTCAAACCATTTTACAGATAATTACTGTTGAGTACAGTGATTGGATTTGTAGGCAAATGGTCATTGTGTCAACAAGGCCCTTAAAACAGACATTTGACAAACAAATGACCAATTAATCTGCATTGTTGACTAGGACTGGCAGAAACTTGCTCTCTTTTGGAATAGTGTCATGTGATTACCCACCTGAACAGACAGACAGAAAGTCAGTTCAATGTCTTATCCAAAAGAAATGAGATTGCCTATCAGTTTGCAATTCTAAAATGAGTGTGAAAAGGTTTCAGGACTGAAACAAGTCTAGAGAAAGTCTAAGGTGTCTTCTTTATGGACCATTATACGCTGACATTAAAATAAAAGCAAATTATTTCCTTGTGAATTTGCATAATTATTTCATCACAATCCTTTTGCTTTTAAAATGTATTTACATTTTATTATGGTAATTTATGTACTGTTAGTTGTGCTTCTAAACGCTCCCAAGTACAGCGAGATCGCTGGTTGGCTGATTTTGAATTTATGAAATTGACAAGTAGATAATTGGAAAAGGAATACGGCAGCTTAAGAAAAAGGAAGATTTACAAACAAGAGTGGGTAGTATACTGCAGGACATGTTCTTGTAGCCTATAAAAGGAGTCCTAATAAATGTAGTACTAATGTAGTAGTAAATGTTATAATACAGAGCACTCTGAAAAGAATAAAGTATAACAAAATTATTCATAAAAGGAAATAGGAAGAGATGTCATGCTGAGTGGCTACATGCAGTTATATGGAGCACTAACAAGGTTATCATTGAAAGCTGAGTGCTACTACTCACTTATAGCTCTTTTACTTACTCTGTTTATATGCAGGCTGAAAAATTGATGTTTAAATTGTTGATTTTCCCAAGAGCAATATTCCCTGAGTGTAAACTGAGCAAGTCAGCTTTCCTGATGACTAATCCATGCAACACATTCGTCAAGAAAGATCAACATTCCTTGTGATATAAAATATATAGTTAAGTAGGCTGTCAGTCAGGAAGTATCACTTATAAAGTGTGGAAGTTTTGAAAGATTGCTATTCACAATAAATGTAAGCAAAAATCTATAAGGCTATTAACTGTAAGGCTCCTTAATCAGAAAATCATTGACTGGAGCCAAGCATACCCCTGCAGGTAGGTAAAAATCAGCTTGGCTGCTTCGGTTTACTGAATTCCCAATATAATATAATAGAATTGGATTTTGTGTTAAAAAATCATTCGTTAAATTGAAACAAAAGCCAAGTTAAATTATGCTATACTATGTTCAAATACAGAGGTGTGCGTGCTCTCTTGTTCCAATTATTATTTGGATATACCAATTTTTTTTTATGTCCGTACATTCACCAACATAGCAGTTAGCTGCTATTATGCATTCCGTAAATGGCGTCTCCTAGATTTGTTACTAAGGTTAACAGAGGGGGACATTGAAATCGAAATCCTGGAGAAGAGAAAGTCAAGCCTTGATATTCTAAAGGTGATAATTCAAACATTTTACAGAGCAACCTAAAGAAGTGTTGGCTAAAGTCAAATGATATGTGCTCTTACAATAAAATTAACAGGGTATCATCTGGCAGCTGTGGTCACAAATTCATAATGGCATGCAATACAGATAAGTAGCATTAGAGGGCTGTTGTGGAAATACAGCAATCTTGGCAGCCAAATACAACAGCACAAGTAGGTGAGCCCCCTTGTCTTCAACCCATTGATCCTCTGAATCACCTGAACTCACTTGAGTGAACTTTCTTGTATCCTGGAAGAGGGAGGAGAGAAAAGTGGTGAGAGAAATAAATAGCAAGCACAATGATCTAAGGAGATTATAATTATCTTGCCTAATTTATCCTAGGGTACTTAGGTAACAAACTTCAAAAGGATTTTCTGAAACACTTTGTATTGAAATTAATCTGGCTGCAGAGCAAATGATTGAATATCTTAAGCAGAACCTGCTTAGCACTCGCCTTGCAAGCAAGAGGACTTGGGTTTGGGCAAATTTCCTTGCTACACACTCCACTGATTGCCTAGCTGTAAGTGGGAACCCAGCGATTGGCGGATAATAATCCCTTCAAAAATAGATATATAGGCGAATAAATAATAATAATAATAATTTAGTCACTCATTCCACGACTGTTTATGGGACACTGCTGTGCGCAATTGGCTGCCGAGTTTTGCCCACAAAATATACAGTCAATTTACTTTACAGTATATTCTGTGAAGCGCTTTGAGATGTCTTGAAGACATGATAAGGCGCTGTATCAAATGCAAGGATTATTATTATATTATTATCATCCAGTCATCTTTGTAAATTGTCTTTATTCTGATTGAATGTCATACTTGTTATGCTGTAATCGGACTCTCCTTGTAAATGACCTCCTTAAGGTCATTTGATAGTTTGCATCTGTCACTTTATTCTGGATAGTATATCTCCACCTTGTCCAGCTATTTTTTCCTGAAGTTCTCAGGTGTGGCCCACATGTAGGGCACTTAGTGCACTCGACCAGTCATACTGCTCTGGGTGACTCAAAACTGAAGGAGACCAGAACAATGAATTGTTTTGTGGTGGGAACAGCATGTTAGGTGCAGTGATTAAATATGACACAGTCATATATCAAAAATAATTCTGTTTGTTACAGTAGAGGATTGGGTTCAAGAAACAGCATAGGTAATGGATGTCATTTGTTCAAGAGGAAAAATGAGAACAACAGTGTCAAAATGGATAGCAATACAGACATTGATTTCCTGGCTTGGGACCATAGTCCTATTAAATTCCATTCTCGATAATTAAAGTTGAATAATATGTTCTACAGAAGGGAATAAACTTCATTTTATATTAATTCCTACTTCTATATGGACTGCTTTTTAAAAAAAAGACGAAGTACTTTCAGTATAAGGTATGTTTTAATTGTATTTGCTGTGTTTATTTCAGTGTCCTTTCATTTTAGAGAAATACTTAGCTGAAGGATTTCTCCATGGAGTTCAGTTGAGAGACATTTCAATCAAATGGAACTAAAGGAGACATGGTCTACTGATGCTAAACAGTGGGATCCTCATGGAGTAGATTTGTTGACCGGCATTGATTTCAACATCGCTGGTCTGCTTATAGAATAATTAGGAGCTACTGTTTCCTTCCAATGGAATGCATATCAAATTTTGCTGTTTTCATAGCCCTTTAATGAGGACCTTCTATGAAAGGAAAGGTAGCTGCTAAGGTGTAATGATGTGGAACACACAAAGAGATACGTCTTTTACATTGAAAGTACTTTCAACTACAGTTACCTTCTTTAATTTTGCTACATTCAGGTTTTCCGCAGGGCTAATAACAAAGTTATTTGAGTGGCTTTAGTCGCAGTGGTCCATTGAGTTAATTCAAGTATTTTCTTCAATGAAGAAGTTTGCTAAAAACATCATAGAAACAAGGAATTTATGAACACAGGAACAAGCATAGGCCACTTAATGTATTCAGCTCACTCACTGTAGTCAGGTCTATTGACCAGCTCTCAGAATTTTATTGTAGATTGTAGTGACTGTATTTGTGGGTGAATTCCCTTTCAGTGCCCTTATTGAATCAGCACCTATGTCACTGGATCAGGGTTTCTTTTCTTGTAAGATGGTGGCTAAAAGCAATGACATAATTCATTAAACTGTGTTCAGCTTGTGTCTTCTTTCATCCATGATCATGTTCTCTGGCTCTCCTTTCTTGATTTTGTCCCCAAATACCTCCCTTTGTCCATTCCCACAAAATCATTGGTCCAATAATTTAGGAATGATTTCTGGTTGCTCTGTGGTCATAGTCCTTCAAATTCGAACTGCAACTTTTTTTCTTCCCTATTGTTTAGACAGCGATCCAATAAACTTCTTCTTCCTATATCCAAACAGCTTTCACTCGTCCATTAGTCTCTTATTGAATGCCTTCTGAAAATCTACATATATAACATCCAACAGATTATCCTTTTGTACCAATCTATTCTAACGTGTCTTTTTAGGCATGACTTAACTTTCATTAACCTGTGTAGACCTGGAATTATCGCCGTTCCATGTATTACTTGCACTTGAATGGCTTCCTTTAAAACATAGAAACCCGAGTAGGCCTTTCAGCCCCTCGAGCCTGTTCCACCATTCTATAAGATCATGGCTGATCTGTGCCTCAAGTCCAATTACCTGCCCTTGCCACATATCCCTTAATACTCTGACCTAACAAATATCTATCCAAAAGATGTCAAGCTAACAGAATTATGCATATAACCTTTTTTTGGAAAACAAGGATCGACATTATCTATTTCCCAATCTCTTGATGTGACTATTTCAATTAATGAGCTGCAAAATATTCCAGGCTCAGTCCCCCTACTTCTACTCTAATTTCCTTAAATATTAATGGATGAGTTCCATCAAGTCACATTTTCTAATGAATATTCAAATACTTTACTTTTTAATCTCCACTTCATTACCAATCTCTATTTTCTCAAAAGAAAACTGATGCATCTCTCACGCCTCCAAATACTGGAAAGGTTATACCACCAATTGCTGTAATGAACACTATTTTAGTTCTTTTTAAATTCCCTTCCAACTTCCGATCTTGTGTTTTTATGAGGCCTTAATTGTCCTTTGATAATTTGTCTGTAATGAATATATCCCCAAACTTTTCTTCTAATTCTTTAACTGGTCCCAACAGATACGTATTAAATTTGCTTCTGCTGCTTTTCTTGGAAGTTTATGCCACACACCCTCTACTCTGGGGAGAGCTAGGGAAATTCTTTTCACTTCTCATATGGTTTGAGGATTGTTAATTTAAATCTGTTCTCCAGTTCTGCACTTATGGACTAAGTGTACTCCTGTGGAATTCACTGATGTTGAACTTGCATTGTGTACCACAGAACCACTGTGTACCATTGTAGCACTATACATTACTGCACCACTCCTGCTTTTAGCGCTCTGCACTACTCCAGCGCCAATTAAAAGAAAAAAAATTACGCTGTTTGATCCCCAAGAAGAATTTAATTAATCAAGCCAACTCCCTTACTGATTTGAACTGTCAGCGGGAAAAATTTTAATAATTGACTGGTCTTTGGAGCTTAATCAATGTAAGTTTTTTTTTCTGGGACGTGAATGATTTGCACAGTGAACTGTGCGAAAAAATAGCTGTAAGTAAGAACTAATATTGTAGAAGTAATTAAAAAGTTACCGGGCAATGCTGGTAATTAGAATGTTATTTTGGAGCTTAATTACCCAGCAAAATCCATATGGTTTAAAGAAGGTATATGAGCTGGAGACAAAAACCATTGTGGTTTGCTCCTATTTTTATTCCAGTATTACCGTATATTGGTATTGCACTAATAATCTTATACAAACCCAGTACATTGTTGTTTGTACTTACATTGTGTACCACTGTAGCATTATGTACCACTGTAGCTTTTAGAAATACCTTGTATTAATAGTAGCTATGAAAAGGGAACATATTACAGACGTATTGCTTTTGTGATCTAAGACGTAAGATTATAACTCTCATTGTTTCCTTAGTTAATTTATCTTACAATACAATATGAATTACAGCCGGCCATTGAGTCTTTATTATTGTGAAATTACCAGAAGGAAACAAACACAGTGAACGAATGTGTTGTAACACATTGTTGCATTAATTAACTTTGTAATTTAATGTCACTTAAAACAATATTTGTTCAAAACTTTAGTCATATTTTAAGGCGCTTAAAATCAGTTTAATCAGATTGTGGTCTTCTGGCATGGTGCATAGTTTTGTCAAAATGTCATTTTACCGTGATGTGTCAAAACAGATTTTCTGATTGCAGGTGCCTGGAGCTAATAATTTCTCAGTTACGCTGGAAGGGATCATTACCTGGTATTATTAGTACATTAAAGGCAATCGATAGTTTTTAATTTTTTGGTGACACAATTCCCTCAACAGAATTATAGCAAGGTATTCAAGTGCTGCAATAATGAGTATATTGACTTTGGTCTTGCATAAATCACTGAACACAATCTAGTTAGAATGAATCTTACAGATACACTGACCTGAATATGTAGAAATTTAAAATGTGTAATACTGACCCATAATCCTTCCAGTATTCAAACACAGTATTGCATAGAACGTGCTTGTGTGTTTTTAATCACATATCATAGCAGAAACTTAACATTATGCAGTTATGATATTTGAGATTGTGCATTTAAAATTAGAATGAAGCAGAGGTCACCATGTGAAACAGTTTTGCTTTCTTTAAATATCCTAATACATTCAAAGCCATATTATTCTGAATAATGAAGAAATTCTACAACAGACTTCAGAGGGTAATGCTGGGTCATGCTGCAATAATAATGTCTGTGTAGTGATCTATTTTACGTTCTGGAGAGAAAAGGTTAGAAGTAATATGTACGTTGCTTTCACAGAAAATAATTAAGAACACACATTCCTACAGGTTTTCATTCTGTTTTCAATTTTTTAGTTATAACATCAGTCCCTATTATTTTAAAAATGAATTTTCTGCAAGATGCTACATCATAATTTTAAATACAATCAACATAAAAAAGAAATCAATTAAAATACAATCACTTTTGAACTTTTTCATCTCCCTTGGCTGTTTTAATTTAAAAGGTTCTGCTCTTACAAGGTCACTGACTTTAAATTTAATTTCTTTTTTTACACACACTGCTGTGTTATCAAGCACACAGCAGGGAATAATTATCTTACAACATCATTAGAGACTGCAAAGAATCACCCATCCAGAATGATGAAGACAATGGCAAATGCCTGTAAATACACCTAATATATAGCCCCATTTAGACCGCAGGAACTCCAATAAAGTGCACCACAGAGATCGGGTTCCAAGTCACTCCATTTCCTCAACAGTCATGCAAGGTAGTTCAGAAAATCTCAACGCAGTGCAATAAGGTATCATGTATCTTGTGACTCAAGTGTTTCCATGAGCAACATTGATGCCCACTTAGTAGAGGGAAGACCAATGTGAAGAGAATAGATATACTGATGTTCACTTGGTAGACTGAAGAAAAACACTGATGTATTGGCATTGAATTAGTATAGCACTAATGCTTTAGGTACACTACTACCCAGTCTCCAAACTGCCTTGCATCTCCGAGGTACTGGAACATGTTGTCAGCTTTCCTCCTTCTTCTCCCATCACTTCCTCTAAAACTCCCTTCAAACTGGCTTTCTGCCCTACCCACAGCACCGAGATAGCCCCAGTCAATATCGAAACAATATCCTTCAATCTGGAACCAGAGCTCCTGTGTTTCCTTGTCCTCTTACATCTTTGACACTTTTGACACTGATAACCACTCCATCCTTGCCCATCGTCTCTCCTCCCTGAAACACATCCATGCCTCTGCACTTTCCTAGTTTCATTCCTCCCTGTACCAGTGTCTTCACTTTTATCTCTTCTAAAGACTTCTCCTCCTGCTCCCGAATGGTCAAGTGTGGTCAAATCTCGAATGTTGACAGTGTCCAACTTAACATTGACAAAACTGAGGCTGTCCTGCTCAGCTCTCATTTTCTCATTTCAGACGTACATTCGACCTTCCCGGTTGTTTCCTCCGACTCCTGGAGAATGTGCAGAACCTTAATGATTTTTAACGTACCTTCAAGCCTTTCGTCCAACTGAGACAGCTTTCTTCCATTTGTGCAACATTGTGCGTTTCCACCACAGCTTCACCACCAGTATTGTCAATACCTTCATCTCCAGACATGACCTATCCAGTGACACGCTCCCCAGGCTCCCTCACCAAGTTCCATATCATCCTGAACTCTGCAGTTCAAGTCATCCTTACCAGTTATCCCGATATCTTCAAAGAGTGTTCCCAAGCAGGTACTTATCCATTTTTTTTAACCAATTGACTAACATTACTCTGTATTCTGAATTTGCATCAGTTGTTAATTATTGTAGACTCGTTTTTGTTCTCATTTTAGATCAGTAAACGACACTGTCATAATGCGTTGTGTTTAGTCTACTCTATTGTGTAATCTGATGGCCAAGTAGATGAAAGCATCACCTTATGCATTACAAGCCCATAAAAGGTCAAAATAGAAGCAGAGATTTGGAACTGATACTAATATGATTCAGGAATTCCGTCTTAGGTATTTTAGTTAATGCATGCACCTCGCGCCTATGTAAGAATATCCTCTTTTGAACACCTCTAACCCCAAAAATAGTACACAGTACCATTAATTCTTCCCACCACTCAAGGCACAATTAATTTGCCCGAAATGATTTCCATTCATTGGTGCTTGAGTTCATGTTATAATAATAAATAATCCTTGCATTTGATATAGCGCTTTTTCACGTCTTCTCGACGTCTCAAAGCGCTTCACAGAATATACTGTAAAATGAATGACAGTATATTTGTGGGCGAAACGCGGCAGCCAATTGCGCACAGAAGTGTCCCACAAACAGTCGTGGATTAAAAATGACCAATTTATTATTGTTTTGTTTTTTGGAGGGATTATTATTAGGCGTGTGGAGTAAGGAAACTTGTCCAAGGTTTTGCCCTGCCTGGAATTGAACCCAGGTGTCTTGCTTGCAAGGCGAGTGCTCTAACCACTGAGCTACAGGACTCCTCATGTTATTGCCACTGAAAGAAAAGTCTACTTCATGCCAAGCACTTTTGATTGCACTTAGCAAGGTCTTGTTTGGGCCAATACAAACAGCGTTGATAAACTCTTGCTGGTGTTTTGACTGAACTGTAACTTGAATTCAATATCCGTTGATGTACGTCTGCTTTTTAGCACATATAGTCACATTCCGTTAAAATAAAGCCCCTTCATCAAGCCCCAACCAATGCCATTGGCTGCACACTGTTGTGTTAAGGGTGCTGGAGCAGGGCCCCTCTCAGTTTTTCCTCCTGAGGCTGATTAAGTGTTTAGTTTCGACTTTAAACAGCCTTTTTTTTTGAAAACAAGAAACCACTTACTCAGCTCCCTCCTGCACATCTGATATACCACTCAACAAAAATACCGGTCTATGCACACAATACCCCACATTGGCCTGTGGCACAGCAGAAATATTTAGTGTGTACAGAAGATAGTGGTCTGAAGTTAACATTGATTTCATATTTCAAGAAACAAAATGTATGATGTATAATTTGCAACTTAATCTTAGAAAGATAGCCAGCCAGGACTGTTATAAAGTCTTCCTTTAATATCATACCTAGGCTTATATATTGGATTTGTGCCTCAATCGGTGATTTACATTATACACGTCAATGGAAGGTCTCAAAACCCTGGGGAAATTAATGCTTTGAGGAGAATTTTTAACAATGCAAATAAATTGCTGCAACATTTTTTTAAAATGAAATTTATATCATACAAAAATAAATTATAGCAGATGTGCAGCCAGTTAAAACATATGAAGCTGCCCTCTGGCAGCAAAAGAGTCAAAGCCCAAAACCTCCATACATTCATAATTCAAAACTGCAACACAAGTCAGAACCTAACCTGACATCTAGGATAAAATGTTGCAGGTGCAAACATTAACATGTACCTTTTGTGGAAAGGTTCTGTAAAATATTCTAAGTCTACGTGCGTAATCCTCTTCCAACAAACACAATCACAACCCCTCAACAGAATGCTCTCTGATATATATGCAGCCGTGAATCTTCGTTTATGTTGATTTAAGGAACTTGAAAATCAGTGGATCCCAATACAAAGGGACTGAATTATTTCAGGCACATTCTCTCGCATCCGGTCATATCCGAGTGCGTGCGGCCCCTTCTTCCCCTGAGGCTGTTGCCACTTCCATCTCCTGGGTCAGAATTTACTTCTCAAAACCAACACTGTCCAGTTCTATACCATTGCAATCAGTATAAAAATCAGCAGCAATGCCTCGGGTTCACTTGATGCTTTCTGAACTACAGATTAGCCAGGGCTAATTTTACTCCTACATTGATACATATGAAACTGCTGTCCATTGACCCAATACATTTTTTAATCAGAAAAAAATATTACTCCTTTTTTGAATGTAAATCTTCCTTCTTCGCCTTTGCACCAGGTAGTGCAGGGCTGTGCTGTGCTTTGGAAATGACTGTGATACACAATCTTACTGAATTCAAGACACACCAAAATTGCATTGTTTTACAGTTATCCTTGAAGTAGGCAAGTTTGTTTAGTGTATGGGTATGGCCATTACTCAATTATTTTTTACCTGAATATTGTTACAGTATTGCCAACATATTTACCAGGTACGCTGATGATTCCAGCCCTTCATAACTGCTGCAGTTTTGGGCCATTCCAACGTCACCTGAAAATCAATCAAGCACAATCATGTATGACAATCAATCATTTGTCAATATTCACAAGATTGGTTCAGATCAAGAAGGCCCCTTGGCCCATTTGATCTCCTCCTTCCAGAACACCCACCCTACTACCATCTTCTTACCACAGCACCAAGCTGACAATTCTACTTCTTATTGAATGATAATCAAGTGGAGTGTTTGCACATTGACAGTAAATAATTAACTTCCATTTCTGTTGATGTTCTCAAATGTTGTAAGTAGAGAGATGTACTGGTGGTTCTTTAAATCCATGTTTTAATAATTTTTAAAATTCTTTTTGGTCTCTTCTCCCCTGTCTATATTTCAAAATGGCAGCAAACCATTTGAGTCACATTTTCAGTCTTTTCCTATCTCAGTTTAGCAAGTGAACACTTCAAGAAGCAATGTTTCAGCCTCAAGAAGGGGCAATTAGAATGCATTGTTCTGAGGTTAGCCCTAAATAGGCTGACAAAGGTTCAATCAGCCCCCGCAGGGAGCTATGAGCAGCTAATTACAGAGCTACAGTGTAGATTCTACACAAGTACCGATAAGATATAATCCCTCACCAGCTACAAATCATCTCTCAATATTTTTTTTAAAAATTGAGGCAATTTTCATAAAAGTTACATGACTGTTGCAATATAAAACACAGAACAATCCAAGAATTAGGGTATCAAACATCACTGATAGTAGCAGGTGAGCTAAGGAATGGGAGCTACGTTTTAATGTTGATGATTCATGTCAAGGCGATGTGGAATAGAACAGTGCTATTTATTAGTAAAAGAGGAAACGGTTCAGTGTGAGTGTTGACCACTGAATGAAAGTTTTCAAGTCAATAAACTATAATCAAGTGCAGGAGCCATTGCGAGGAGCCTCAATCCAAACAGATTAGTTTAGCCCATTGGTGAGACCATAATTTGTAATGCTGTTTGCAGGTTCATAGAGTGATATGGGTGCCTGAGGATCATAACGCACTGAATTGCAAGGAAAGGCTTTCAGAGCTGAACTTGTTTTCATTGGTAAAAAGAATATTTAGACAAGTCGTTATTCAGGTTCTTAATTATAATGTAGCTGATTGTTTATTTTGGATTATGAGTGAGGAACTAAATCCACAAGGTCAAAATTAACAAGTCTTAAGTAAGAGCAACGTTTAGGGGCAAGAAATTCTTCTTGTGACTAAAAGTAGACTTTGATAATATGTGTTTATCACAAGATTTGCTATTTCTAAGCAGATATGGTTTAATTTTTTTCACTTTGTGGCAAAAGGATGCTTTCTCTCAAAGAGCCATGGCTATTTGGCATTGTTACTTGTTAAAAGCTGCTGCACTTAATGGAATGCTCCACAGAACATGAATGAATACCACAGGGTCACAAGACAAGTAAATACAAACATAAAAAAAAGCAAAGAAAACAGGACAAAGGTTTGGGGAAAAACAGAGAGCATGAACATGAGAGGACAAGAAAAAGTCTATAAGATAAATGTACAAGGCAAAAGCACTCATATACTCGTATATAAATGCACAGCTTACACGGTAACGTGTTGCTTGGGGGAGTTGAGTGAGCAACAGGCCATTCTAATTGTAAGCAGACAATTCTACCTCTATTTTTCAGGAGCTACTGGTCTTTCTTAGGTTTTTTTTGTCCCAGCTTTTATTATGAAACATTCACCAAAGTACAAATAGGCTATTTACAATGTATATTGTAGTGACTCACGGACATATTATTGAGAGTGGAGAGTAATTATTTCTAAATGTGTTGCCAAGGACAGCCATTTTAAAGTTTAGTTTTTGTTCCAAAGAAGACTTTTAACATACTTGTCATATTCCCTTGAAACTAAACAAATAAGAACTAAAGGGGTTATGATTGAATAAAACACAGTAAGACAGAGAGTGCTTTATATCTTGTGGCAAATAATACATTCAATTTCAGCATTTAATTTGGCTTACAATCTTGCCCCCAAATCCTTGAACTCCTGGGGTGTCTGAAAGAAACCAATGATTTTATTTTCCGAAGTGGAATTGCAGTGAGCAGAGTTGCTTGGAAAAGCATTGAAGATGCTTTCTTTTTTATTTTTGACTGCATTGACAAGAACAAATACAAATTGTATATCAATAAAATATATTTCCAAAACTGTCAGTATTTTTCAATCTTTTTCAAAATTTTTCAATCTTTGTTGGACACAGGAGTGGTGCCAGAGGACTGGAGAGTGGCCAATGTGATTCCCCTGTACAAAAAGGGACAGAAGGACAAACGTGGACCGGTATTTGAGGAGGACGGCTTTGCAGCGTTATGGGAAAAGGGGAGTGGGATTGACATTACATTGCTCTATTCAAAGAGCCGGCACAAACTCGATGGGCCGAATGGCCTCTTTTTTGTGCGGTACGATTCTATGATTCTATGATTCTCAGTATTCAACATGATTCATGTATGTTGGTATCATTTAAAACCATTTGAACATCCATGAGTTCAAGTTCCAATGCTTGTTCTTCATTCTCATTTTAAAAAACATTAAAATATAATAATGGGGTCACTTAATCCACGATTAATATACAGTCGATTCACTTTACAGTATATCCTGTGAAGCGCTTTGAGACGTCTCAAATGCAAAGATTATTATTATTATTTGACACAATATGTGGATGAGCTAAATTCATAGTTCACTTTTGAATACCAATTTAAGGTTTTCACGTAATTCTATTAAAATCTATTCCTCAGAATTCTTCTTCTGGCTCAGTGGGTAAATGCACCATGTGCTTTGATACTGAACCAAACTAGGATGGACTGAGGATCAAGCTCTGGTTTGTGTTGAGTTAGTTTAATTTAGCCAAGGCCATAGTGGGTGCTTTCAGTGTCTTGAGCTAGGAAAAGAGGAAATTAAAAGGGTTCCCATCGTTGATCCCTATGTTGTAACTCCTATTGGAAAGTTCATTTGCTGTAGATTTCAGGTGTGAAAGAATCAAGAATTAGACCAAAAGGGTCTGCTTAGCTGCGTGCCTGCACGAACCATTTCAGAACATGAGAGGAGAAAATTTACAGAAAATGTCTCTTATTTTAATTTAAACAATTAAACAATACCTTGTGTCAAAATATATCTTGCGATGTTTGCATTCAGTATAAGCGAGATTCATTTGCAGTGTTATTGCACTGCCCCACCCCCCATTCCCCACAAGTGAATCAATCAGAGTGCATTGACTATTTTAATTTTAAAAATTATCCCTGACGTATAAAGTTAATCACATTTAAAACTTCTTCAAACATTCCCTATATAGTACTAAACCCGAACGAGTTACCCGAATCACTAAAAATAGCAATTATTTTTGTTGAATCTTTTTCGTGTAACGTCCTATTGTAATGAAAAAGATTTTTTACTTTTAGTGGTGTGTGTGTGAGCAATAAACCCCAATGTCTGCATATTCACCACCGACATTCTGTGCAGACCTTTTGAAATTTACACAGAATGTTGAGGTGCAGCTGTAGCAGCTTGTGTGCTCCTGGCGTTAATGCGGAGGTCTGGCTTCAGTTCCCATGGCCCTGCTTTGCTTGTAATCTGGTAGAGGATCGACAATCTGGCCACATCTTTTAAGCATTGTGAGAGGTGCCATCTGAGTCTAGGAGCAGGAGATGGATTTGCTCCACAGTTTGCCAGAGGGAACTGCACTATTACATCGTTGGGTGGCTTTAGGCTTTGGAGAGCATTGATGTCACTGAGATGACAAGTTGAGCCAATCTCTCTTGAAGAGGCCAAACCTTTCATCAGCCTTTCCAGGCGTTTGTGCCACTTTGTCCCCTTATTGTTGATCACATGCGATCACCAAGTCAAGGTGTTAAATAGTTGTAACTGGAGACGGCTCTCGTTCCTTGTGGAGTAGAGGTGCGTGGGCACTATCACGATCAGTCTTTCTTGACAGTTATTGACTTGGTCCTCTCAGTCACTGAAGGTAACACACCATTTGTCTGCTTACTGAACTATTCTGTCGATATCTGCTTTCAGTGATTCAGGCACCGATTGTCTTTCCAACGTGGACTTAACCACTGTATGGTGTGTTGTGTCACCTGCAAAAATGAATGCTTTTGTTGGCATCTATCAGAACACTGATGAAGATTGGAAGCAGAATGAGGCCACTACACTGAGCTCACAGAGGGACCCACAGGTAGGGGTTGCTATAAAAGATAGGTGTCCCTTTTAGGTATTGTGTTTTCTGAGAAAGTCGCTCATCTAGCTCACCATTTATGCTGCTGAAGGCCAGTTACTCAATGAAATCTGAATGCCCTACAATTTCAGGCTATAGAAATGTTGAAGGCTGTTGTTCTAACACTATACTGGCTGATTGAGCAAAACACTCCAGGTGTGGACAGAAGCCTGTACAGTATATGGGGAAGATGCGATTGAGGGTGTTGCGATTGACAGTAAAGACGCTCATATGTAGTTCAAGGACACAGATCTGTAGCGGCTGAAGACAGCCATTTTGAATGCCAGATTTTATTATGATCAACAAATACATTGCAGTTTATTACTTTGCTTCAGAATGCCCAGTGAACATTAAAAAACCCACTTGCCCATTTTGGTAACGGGAACAGGAAGAGTGAGACTTGACAGAATGCAACAGAGTGTGTTGCAAAAGGCTGCAGCGTAGTCAGATTAGGATGAGATGTTTTGTTCTTGTTCCTGTAATATTAACATTTGCTGTAATTAATTGTAAGTCTGTTTATGTTCACTAGACAATGTGACATTATGTTACCACAATATATTGCTCAGAATGAGAACAGCTGGCAATTAAAGTGCATCGTTGAAGCACAACATTCCCTGCCTTTTAGAAAGATTAGGGCGTGATATTTAAATTATTTTTGTTTTGCATTTAGTTCTGGAAATCATTCGAAATTAAAACTGGATCCATCATTTTCGAACAGGTAGTTTCTCACTGACTAAACGAATGAACGTTAGGCAGAGATGGTCCATAAAGTATGCATGTGTTAAATGTATTATAACAATTTTAATTCAGAAGATCGGTAAATGAAGAAGAAGTAGGTCTCTCCTGCAGAGCTTTCTTATATAATTATCATTGCAGCTTCACAGTGATTTTATCCATTTAACTTCCAGCCAAGCTCCCTTTCCCTAAGCTACCCAAACACTAGGTTTTATCGTGTGGAGCTGGGACTGCCGGATTCACACGAAACTGGCAAGTCAGCTCACACGTGCAGAAGAGCGTGATAGTCGCACAGACAATTATTTGAACATGAATCATTTGATGGAGCTCAGAGGTAACCTCGTACTTTATCTACTAACAATTGCGCACAGGAAGCCATTAATTTTTCACCTGAATTTAAAAAAAAATAGAACTCTGGGATATAATTAACTGGAACTCACTGGAACAAAAATGTTTATTTTTAATAACCTATTTTTTTTCTTTCATTTATTTCTGTTGAAAGTCTCGTGAACTGAACACGTTTGTCACAATATATGTTGAAACGGAGAATTAAAGGCTCTGTGTTATCACCTTTACAAATGTTAACCTGCTCATTAAACAGTTGAAATTTGGCCTGTTACTATAAATAACATTTAACTGCGCTTAAATTGCTAGTGTTTAGATGTAGATGCATGGGATGACTCCGACACCTGTGTTTCTGCTGACTTGTGTAACTATTTTGTTCCCTCTCGAAGTATGTTCACTCCTATGGGGGTTGCAACAAATCAAGCATGTAGAATAATCCTTTTAACATTGGTGCTGTAATGCACAATGGCTTTGGCCCTTCACCCAGGCTCAATTAAAAACAAAGTAGAGGAGCTGGACCATAAAAAATAAACTGAACGTAGATGACCTGAAGGAGAATTGATGTTAATGTTAGGTGTGCGTGTGAGTGTGTGTGTATGCAGCAGATAATACTGTACTGTATAGTGTAGATGTCATAATTCATTGAATTAAGGTCATGGCTAGTTGTATCATTTTATATTGTTGGAATGTTCTATTATTACAATAATACAATAATACAATACTCTTATTATTATTATATAATTAGAATGGGGAGTCCTGTAGCTTAGTAGTTAGAGCACTCGCTCGCAAGTGAGAGGGCTTGGGTTCAATTCCCAGACAGGACAAAACGTTGAGCAAGTTTACTTACTCCACACGCCTCTGTTTACCTTGCATTACCTATTATTATTATATTATGCTTCATATCGTAGCATATATGAAAAAAGTCTAAAATGTCTTATGTGGGTGAAGTCTACATTCGAGTTAAATGGAACTATTGTAAAGTCCTGAATCTCTGTGCTCATTAAAAGCCCAACATCCTTTTATTCTTTTTGATTGTCTGCAAGCTAAGGAAGAGATAGCCATCTTTACACCAGATGATAACGTCAAGCACTATGAGGCAAATTGCTATCCTGCTAGTCATTCTGCTTTTTGTCTCTCCTGGAATTATTATTGATCTTAGTTGTTTTACTGCTGTGTTTCCACAGAGTTCAAGGTGGCTATTTTTACTGTCAGTGTGGCACATATTGTACAAGTGGCCATTTCCACACACTAGACCTGTGACAATTGGACACCACAGGAGGGAGAATCAAGAAGGCACTTTCCACACAGGTAAGTACCTCCAAGTGCCATCATAAAATATCATCCCACAGTGCACACTTGAGAGGAAATCCAGCAAAGACAGCAAAAGAAAACCATGGGCTGGCAAGCTGCACCATAAGCTTCTCAAAAGATGGCTATGAAATTTAGGAGATTGACTGGAGGAACAAGATGTAAAAGTAAGAAGAGGGTAAGTACTGCACAATTTGTGCTGTTCATCTCTTTGAAAAGCAAAAGTAAATACAAGTTAATTTCAGGAAAGCAAATATTTAGACTAGAATATTAGAATTAGGTTAATAGTGTTGTAAAAATGTTTGCTTTCTTGGATTTAAATTGATGCTCTTTTGAGGACAGATACATAAATTGCAGTGTCCTCCTCTGTTTAACGCACTGGCTAAAGTGCTGACAGAGTGTTGTTTTGACAGACGAGTTGCATGTACAGTGCTTGCTATTTGTTCTGGATTGTATTATTTGTGAAGCTCTAACAATCAAAATCTGGTGCGTTCCACCAATAATAATAAAGGTTATAGGGTAGAAATCTTTTCCTTCATGAAGTTCTTTATGATAATGTTAATCACTGCATTTGATAGAGCCTCCCATTGGGTGGAGGTTAGGCTCTATGGCCTAATATTCCACTGGTGTATGGTCTGCCTCACGTCTCCCATTTCAACTTTTCCTGAACCTTAGCTGGAGATAACAGGACTATTCCTTAAGCTCCTGTTGATGCAAAGGACCAAGCAGATGAGGCTTACTATCAATTTTTCTCTCCTATTGGAAAAAGGGTTGTAAATGTAGTCATCTGGAGAGGGTCATTTTGAGGTGTAAATTGTGGGTTCTAAAGCTGGGCTGCTTTATAAAATGCTAGATGTGGGGGGGTGGGGGGGGGATGCAAAATGTTTTATTTTGATTTGATTTTGTTTACTCCAGGTGAATGTCAATGTGCAAGAAATTTCTTTTCAGTAGGCGGAGTTTAGGTCTAATTTGCAGTGGTGGCGGGGATGGGAAGTGTAACTGGGAAATTCTGGATTACCTCCCCCTTTGTAAATCAGCATTGCGTTCAGTGATGGGAATGGGCATCTATTGCCTGGTATAGATACCTTATAGTAAAAATAACAATCATTTTCACCTACATAACATCTTTCACGTAGGATAACCTTTCAAAGCACTTTGCAGAGAAAGAGTGGAAACCTGGAAGATAGTAATTACCAGCAGAGAGGGAGGGTGCAAGACAGGGGATTTTGGTCGAGGTGGGCAAAGTGGCTGAAAGTGAATTCTACACCAGCGTGTCCTGTACAGATTGTAGAGTAGTTTGTTTCTATTTTAACTGTGATCGAACCGTTGCAGAGAATCAATATCAGTAGTATTTTATTTTAGACTCTTTAAGACTAAAAAATAATGATTTGGTCACTCAATCCACGACTGTTTGTGGGGCACCGCTGTGCGCGATTGGCTGCCATGTTTTGCCTACAAAATATAGAGTCAATTCACTTAATAGTATATTCTGTGAAGTGCTTTGAGACGTTTCGAAGATGTAATTAGGCGCTATATCAAATGTAAGGATTCTTCTTATTAATATTATTTATTTCCACTACCTACACACGAACATTTTTACCCAATCCTTAATTTCATCCGAGAGATACATTCAAGGAGTCCGGACATAGCAAACATGAACAGACAGCTAAGCTCTGAGTTCTTTGTGGCCTCATTAAAAATAACAAATGGACTAAATTTGAGACTGTAACAAAAGAAGAGCTAGATGAATGGATTTACAACCGAGAATAAAAGAAACTCGAGTCGACAAATAATGAAGTGCTTGATAAACTACACGGGAATGATGTCACTGGGCGCATAGCGCCAGCATTCAAAGAGTTAACCAGCTCAAACCAATTAAGTGCAATTAGTCAAGTAAAACTGCAGAAGGGCAGAGCAGCCTTTTGTTTAAATCATGGAAAACTTGCCCTTAATGAAAGATAATGAGCAGAACACGCATACTGTTTAAGCAGTCCGTCTCTCTCTCTCTCTCTCTGCAGCTCTTGGGGGCTTAATGTTCAGGATTTAGAACAAACTGTGTTTAATCGCTGTAGATGGCAGAGAAACCAGTTCAATTTCGCCCATTTTCCGATTGGCTCAAAGGTTGCATGGTTTGCAGTTGATAAGAATCCGGTCTTTGCAGGACTTTACTGGTCACTTGGAGGATGTCTGATCTATCGCAGATATGGAACAGTGAAACTTATGCAAATAAAAGAACATGCATTTTTAGTTACTTGTTTCTAATAATAGCACATCCTCAGTCGGACATTTTCCATCTTGTCTTCTCCTCTAACTGAGGAAAGTGGTTACAACTGTAGAACTCTCGCCAGCTTTCATCTAACTCTGGCTGTGTGTGAGTTCAATTTAAAGCTTGTGCATTTCATCCAGACTTAACTCCCAAATATGCTTTAGGCTGAGAGTGGAGAACAAATGTATGAAAAAAAAGAGTGCTTTTAGACTAGGATAATCCCATGTAATCTTTAAACTAAATAAACTTTCCTTTTTTAATATCCTCTAAAACTATTAATGTAAACATTGAATGAATAATCCCAGCCCTCAAACTGTTGCAACACTTGACGAGTGAATCAGCTGCAAATTGAGACACGTTTTTTTTTGCTTCATAAGGTGACATCACTGGGGTGGTTTTTTTTCCTGGTTGTCACATGCTTTAGCAGAAGCTTGGCCCTATTTTAATAAAACATTAAATGTGAAACGAGTTCCAGATGTTGGGACTCTATCGTCCCCAGTAAGAGAATCGTACAAGAGGAACAAAGTAGTTGGAATGAAATCTAAAGAGACAGCAGCAAAAAAAATAAAACCCGAATAAAAGAAGAAACGCAAGTGTGTGTGTGTGTGCGTGTGTGTGTGTGCTCCACATTGTGAAACTTTCAGGCAATTCGTCTCGATGACTCAGCTGGACTTCACGATAGTGAAACCCAAAGTTTGAGACCTTTGCTGTATCCTGTTGCCAGCAGTTTGATCAGCTGATTTTTCAGAAACACTTCGCAAAAGTTTTCATTGGTCAGACACAATTAACTTCCTGTCAAAACAAAAACAACTCGTTTCGACTGTTTCCCCTTGTATATATATTTTTCTTCTCTCTCTCTCTCTCTCTCTCGGCCTCAGCTGTTTATCAGGTTTCTTTGCGATAGTCGTTCAAGCCTCCACAGCCCCAACACTGTGGAGGCTGCTGTAAACCTGGGGTGGTGTTGGGTGGGGTGGAGGCAGCTCTCTTAGCTGCTTTGGCTGGAGCTGCGCTGTGCCCTCAGGGCACTGTTTTCCAGGCTGGGATCTCGGAAGAGAAGTGCCAAGGGGTTAAAAGAATGGAGAAGTGGACTGCCACACTGAAGACCGCTGGTCACAGCACTGAGCTGCCAGCTTACATTGCAGGTAACGCAGCGAATTGTTATTTCAGTGCAGTGGGGTTTTATTTTAGAGTTACTGCAACTTTTTGAATATTGCATCCAACTACAGTGTAACCTTATGTGATAATGCTTAGCAGTAAATGGATTAGCAATAATGTTTCTTTTCTTTAAATGGGCTAAGATTTTGCTTTTCGTTTCCCTTCCCGAAGGCACCGACTTTTACGTTTCTCGCAAGAACAATCAGCTGGCCCGGTACCTTGCCCAATGGGCCATTACAACAACAACAACAACAAGATTACATTTGTATATAACAGCAACAACAACAACAACATTACATTTATAGAGCGCCTTTCACGTCGGGAGGATGTCCCAAGGCGCTGGACAGTTGGGTCAGGGCCCGAGCAGGGGGTAAATGGTCAGGGTGAGGGGAGGGAAGGGAGGGAGCGAGGAGGGGGTAGAGAGTCGAGAGGGGAGCTGAAGGCACGATCAAAGAGAAAGGTCTTGAGACCGGCCTTGAAGGAGGAAAGAGAGGAAGCAAGGCGAAGGCACTGGGGGATAGAGTTCCAGAGCCTAGGGGCTGAGAGGCTGAAAGCCTGGCCACCGATGGTAGGGCGGTTGGGGCGGGGGATGTGGAGCAGACCGGAGCCAGATGAACGGAGGGTACGGGCAGGTAAGTAGGGGGATAGTAGATGAGAGAGGTAGGAGGGAGCAAGGTCATGAATGGCCTTGTAGGTCAGGATGAGGATCTTGAATTCGAATAGCGTATTCGAATATTCGTATAGCGTCTTTCACGCACGTCGGGAGAACGTCCCAAGGCGCTGGACAGTGGACAGCATTTCAGACCCGAGCTGGGGTCAGGGAGGGAGAAGGGAAGGGAGGGGAAGGGGAGTGACCAATGGCATGGTCGAAGAGGAGGGTCTCAAGGTGGGACTTGAAAGAGGCTAAGGAGGGGGTGAGGAGGAGTGATTGGGGGATGGAATTCCAGAGGTTGGGAGCAGAGTAGCTGAAGACTCTCCTGCCAATGGTTGGGCGGGGGACGTGGAGCAGACCGGAGCCGGCTGAGCGGAGGGAGCGGGCGGGTTGGTAGGGGTTTAGGAGGTCGCAGAGGTAGGGTGGGGTGAGGCCATGGAGGGCTTTGTAGGTGAGGACAACAAGCAGGGCATTTGCATAGTCGAGCCTGGAGGTGATGAAGGCATGAACAAGAGTTTCAGTGGCCTGAGGGGTGAGGTAGTGACAGAGACGGGCGATGTTACGGAGATGAGGGAAGGCAGAGCGGACCATGGCTTGGATGTGGGGAAGAAAAGACAGTTGAGGGTCGAACAAGACACCTAGGTTCCAGACTGGCTGGTGAGTTGTAGTGTGAACCATGGAGGTTGATGCTGCCAGAGCTTTAGGTGCTGAGGCCCTGGCGCGAACCAATCAGGAGGGCCTCAGTCTTGTTCACATTCAACTGTAGGAAGTTTGCCCTCATCCAGGACTTGATGTCCGTCAGGCTGTCTGTCAGGACAGCAGTGGTCCTGGAGTTGAGGGTGGAGGCAGAAAGATAGAGTTGGGTCTTATCCGTATACATATGGAAGTTGATCCCATGTCTGCGGAATGATGTCACCAAGGGGGAGT